ATGAAGAAGAAAAAGAAGAAGGAATTGGAGGAGGAGGAGGAGGACGAGAAGGAGGAGGAGGAGGAAAACGAGGAGGAGGAACAAAAACAGCAAAAGAGCCCAAGAGAGCCCCAAAACGGCCCCAAGAGATGCCAAAGAGGGCGACAACGAGCCGAACATTCCGGCATTCTACCCCACGAGGCTCCAAGGATGCACCAAGAAGCCCCCAAAGGCTCCAAGAGGCCCCCCAAGGGCTCCCCGATACCGGCCCCGAATCGGTCCCCAGAACACCACGACAGCCCGATGACGGCCCAAGAACAACAACCTCAGAAGAGCCCATGTGGCTCCCAAGAAGGCCCAGAGCCACGAACGCCCCCCAAGACGGTTTCAAAGAACCCCAAAACGGCCCCAGCCTCCAAAGACCGCCCAGGAGCAGGACTGCCTTCGAGGGCCCCGAACGAGTCCCAACAAGCCCCAAGTGGGCCGCCAAGAAGGCCCAATGATGCCACGTTGTATGATTTCTGTCGCTCGCACGCGAACAGCACGCCACCCTACAGCCCTCTCCGATTTGCGAAGCCTTGGCGGGCGCTTCACCGTCGCGGTTGCCTTGTCGACGCCCTTCGTCGTCGTCGTCGTCGTCGTCGTCGTCGTCGTCGGCGTCCTTCGTCGCCGTCGTCGTCGTCGAGTTCCTTGGCCACGGCTAGAACCTAAGCGCGCGCGAAGCGCGCGCGTGGTTCTAGTATATATATATATATATATATATATATATATAATCAGAGCGGGTCGTCGGGATCCTGTAACTGTCGCCGCATCGCGCTGGATTTCCGCGCGTGCCACGGACGCAGTGACACGCGCGACGTGCAGGAGTCCACGTACAAGCGGCCTCACCACCACTTCGGGAGCGCCCCCATCGTGTTGCACCTTGGCAATTTTTCGCAGCTGAAGCCCACGGGCAGCATCGGCCTCTTGACGGACGTGAGCGAGCTCCTGGACGACGGGTCCTACAAGTACGCGGAGCCGCCGACGGTGGAGATTCAGCACGCCATCAAGGTATTCCCTCAGATCCCCTGCGTCTGCGAGCTGAAAGGCACGAAGCGCTTCGAGCCCGGGGACCCTCTGATCACGCTCTTGGGCTGCACGCGTGAGGGCAAGCCCTTCCCGCCCGAGGTCTGGTCCGCCTGGGAAGCGGCGTTGGCCTCGGACGTCCGCGGCGTCCTGGGCCCTCGGCGCCAGCGCGAGAATTTTCGGCTCGGCTACAGCATGGGCGTCTACTGGGAGATGCTGACGAGGTGGATCAACGCGCGCACTCGTCGCGACGCGCGGCTTCCGGGCGCGCCCCTCGTTTTCTTGCAGGTCGTGGACGAGTGCAGCGCGATTCAGGGCGATCCCGACTCGGGTCGGCGCCTCTTGAACGTCCCGAACATGCACAAGTCGGGGGACATCCGCGGCGCCTCACCGGCCCACGTCGGCATGGAGGTGCGGCTCACGGCAGTTGAGGAAGAGGTGAAGAAGAAGAAGAAGAAGAAGAAGAAGAAGAAGAATAATAAGAAGACAAATAAGAATAATAATAAGTTGGGGCGGGTGCAGGAGCAACGGGCCACCGCCGCATCCTTCGAGTTTCACCCCGAGGGCGAGCAGCGGTGCGAGGAGTGCTCGCCTGGCCAGCGTTTCCGCCCCCGCTACCTACCGCCGGGAATCTGGCTGCAGGCGCGCGGCTTCAAGAAGTCTCCGATCTACCAGGAGGTCGCCGAGGTGCTGCAACAGGGTGCCGAAGGCGCCGGCGACGACGGCGAAGCCGCGGCGCGGGCGAGGAGCTTGCCCACGTTCAGGCCCAGAGAGCAGGAGCTCACGCGGCAGAGCTCGGGGCCGCGCGCAGCGCGCCGTTCGGGGTCCATTGCGACGCGCGCGTCGCGCCTCACCTCCGCGCTGTCGCAGGGCCAGACGCTGCGCATGGGCGCCGCCGAGTGCGCGAGGGGCGAGGGCGCCAGTTGCGCGGGCAGGTCGGACGAACGGCGGCGGCTGCACCTTTACGTCGCGTTCTCCCGCGCCGCGCGCGCGGAGCGCGCGGATCCCGCGGCCGCCGCCGCGGGGGACCTTGGAGCGAGGGCCGCCTGCATCCTTGCGGAAGGCGATCCTGCATGGGGCGCGGTGTCAGAGCGGAGAGTTCCGGGGCAGAGGCGGAGCAGTTCGCGGCAGAGTTGGGCTTCGTGCTGCCCCCCGCCTGAGGGGGCCGCGGAGTTGTCCCAGCGGCTTGGTCTCGCGCGCAAGCGGCTCGCGGGGTTGCCCCGACGGCCTGGCCCGCGTGGCTGTCCCCGACGGCTGCGCGATTTCGCCATCGGGGAACGCGCCCCTGCCAGGCGTGGCGGCGAAGGCGCAGAGGAAAATCAACGCGCGCGCCCCTGCCAGTAGGAAGGAAAGTCGCAGGGGGGGGGCGAACGGGGCGGCGATGAACAGGGGGAGAAGGAGGAGGAGGAGGAGGAGGAGGAGGAGGAGGAGAGGAGGAGGAGGAGGAGGAGGAGGAGGAGGAGGAGGAGGAGGGGGAGGGGAGGGGGAGGGGGAGGGGAGGGGGAGGGGGAGGACAAGGCAGAGGCCGAGGAGCAGGAAGAATGCGAGGAGGAGAGGGAGGCATCGGAGGCGGCGGAGGAGGAGGAGGAGGAGGAGGAGGAGGAGGAGGAGGAGGAGGCGGAGAAGGAAAACTATGAGCAACGCAACGAGCAGGACGAGAAGGAGCAGGAGGAGGAAAAGGAGGAGAAGGAGGCAGAGGGGGAGGAGGGGGAGGAGGACGGAATGGGCAAACGGAAGCCTCCGCCTGACGAAGAAGAAAAAGGCGATGGGCAAGCTTAATCGATTCTCGTGCTGGGTCTTGCCTTCGGAACAATTCATCCGAAGCCTGCTTGCAGGAGGACATGCCCGACCTAGCCTGGCCAGGGATCGGCCACGCGCAAATGTGGGTGGGGGGGAAGGGAGGTTTCTTGGAAGCAGCCCTGGTTCTTAGATGGCGCGGGCCTTCTCCATGGACGTAAGACCAGCGCCCTCCCAGAAACAACCCCCTACAAAGAAGCTTCCCCCCCTCCCCCGACCCCTCTTCGCGCGCCGCCGAACATGCCCGACTTATCACTTTTAACAGAAGGAGCGGTCCTAGATGTCTTGTGCGAGGTCTTGTGCGGGATGTCTTGTGTTGACTTGTGTGGGCTCTTGTGCTGGGCGCTGGGCGTCGGTTCGCGTTCTCTTGATTCGTTCTCCTGCGCGAGTCGTTCTGTGCGCGTCTTGTGCGCGACCACGCTTCGCTCGACCAATGTTTTTTTTAATCTCGTAGGTGTAGATGCCATTTGGGCTTGGCCAGGGAGCGTTGCCAGCCCCTGGCGGCCTGGTGCTGGCCTGGCCCGGGGGGTCGTTGTGTCGGTGGCAAGCCCCGAAGCCTTCGGCCCTCGAGCAGCGATCCCAGCCTGGCCGGGGCGTGTGTGCAACCAACGAAGAAGAAGAAACAAAAAAACAAAAAACGCCATAGACGGAAACGTTTGGCGCCCCGCGCGGGTTTCTTGGATCGGCGCCTGGGTCCCCCCGGCGGCGCGTCCGGAGCCGCCCCTGGCGCGCTCCGCGCGCCAGGGAGGTGGGTCCAGCGCAGATCCGAGAAACCCGCGCGGAGCGCCAGAAGTGTATGCTTATGCCGTTTTCCTTCCTCTAGGATGGCGACATGACGATGTCAATGACATGAACTACCCAGCAACCTGACGCGCAGGTCTCTCAACTGCATTCAGAACCTTTGGGATGAGCCCTTGTTGAACAAACCTATCCAGGTAGGACCTCCTGGTGGCATTGAGGGCCCTGGGATCACACACGCGTCTGACCCCTGCCTGTAGAGGAGATGGAAGAGGAGGGGGACGAGTGCGAATTCAAGACGCGCCAGCGATTGTGCACTACACCTCCCTTCCAAAATTCATTCTTCATGGGTCCCTTCATGTCTGGAAGTGCCCCATGGAAAGACACCCGTCTGATAATCTTCAGTCGTGCCAAAGCATGCGGCCTGGGATTTCAGCGCCGCGAATCAGCGTGATTGTTGTGTCCGGGCACTCCCAGACCGTGCCAGAACATCTTTCCTGCCACGTCAGCACCGCTGGCCAGCGTGACTGCTGCGTCCTGGCAGTCCCGAATCGTGCCCGAACACCGTCCCTGGGATTCCACCTGCACGGACCTTTGAAACGGCTGCAAACTTGTGGGGCGAACGCGCGCGTCGGTACAGTGGGCGGCTTGAATAAGGAACACTTACTTTTCAAAAGGGGCTCGGTCGTTCCTTAGGCTTGCATGCGTTGTTTACAGTTCCTTATGCGTTATGTGTTATGTATCGTTCCTTATGGGTTATTCCCTGGGATAAACAAGGGGCTTCGTTCCTTATTAAGCGTTCCTTAGGTCAGGCCGATGACTGTATGGCGGAAGCCACATCTTGAAGAAGAGCCGCCTTCCATGCCTGAGACGGCTGCAGAGTGTCTGGCGGATGTGCGCGGCGCCTGGGGGGGGGGGGGAGGAGCCACACTCTGGAAACTGTGCTGTACATGTTGAGGGCGAGCGTGCGCGGCGCGAGGGCGAGAGCCGTGTCCTGAAAAGGCCTGGCCCTCCACCCTCGAGGCTGATGCAGACTTCAGACTGCAGGGTCGGAGCCGGCGAAGAGTTGTTCTCAGGCGAAGCACCCAGCCCTGCCTGCTGGCACATCTGGGGAGTGCGACATGGGGCGAGGAGAAAGGGTAGAGGAGGAAGAGGAGGAGGAGGAGGACGAGGACGAGGAGGGAGGAGGAGGAGGACGAGGAGGAGGAGGAGTAGAAGGACGAGGACGAGGACGAGGACGAGGAGGAGGGGGAGGGGGAGGACGAAGAGAAGGAGGAGGACGAGCAAGTGGAGGAGGAGGAGGAGGAGGAGGAGGAGGAGGAAGGAAGGAAGGATGGGGGAGTTGGAAGGAGGTGGGGGGGGGAGTGGAGGAGGAGGCCGAGTTGGAGGACGAGGGCGAGATTTGGGCCTCGCGACGGCAGGTCGCGCGCACCACCGTCTACCCTCCGCCAGGCCTGGACGTCGTCGAGGCGCGCGCCCCGGCTCCTTCAATTTCTCGTTCGTTCCGAGGATTTGTAAAGGGTGGCAGACGACGACGACGACGACGGCGGCGACGACGGGGACGACGACGATGACGACGACGGCGACGGCGTCGGCGACGGCGACGGCGACGGCGACGGCGACGGCGACGGCGGCGGCGGCGGCGGCGGCGGCGGCGACGACGACGGCGACGGCGGCGGAGGCGGCGGCGGCGGCGGCAGCGGCGGCGGCGTCGGTGGCGGCGGCGTCTTCCGCCCTCTCATGGTGGTGGGGAGGAGGTGACGGGAGGAGGAGAAGGAGGAGGACAGAAGGAAGAGGAGGGTGAGGAGGACAGAGTGAGGGAAAGGTAGGGGGAGGGAGCAGGATGAGGGAGGAGGAGGGAAGAGGAGTTGGAGGAGGAGGAGGAGGAGGAGCAGAAGGAGGAGGAGCCGGAGGAGGAGGAGGGGAAGCGAGAAGGAAGTGGACGAGAAGGAGGAACAGCTGTCCTCTTGTGTAACAGCGCTACGACCGAAGGCACTCTGCAATCAGAGAGAAAGAGACCACATGAATCGAGGGAGCGCGTGCTTATCATTCAGAGGATTCCAGCATATGCAACCTGCGAAAGAAGATGCAAGCTTCTACAATGACTTTGTACGAAGGTTTCGACACTGCCCTCCAGTTGTGTATGCTGTGAATTTCTGGCTGGCATGCAGTAGAGCAGCATCGCTGCAGGAAAATTAGTTCAGCTGATGCCGAAGCTGGCCGATCTCGAGGGCAGCTGAGGGCAACTCACCAGAACACCCAGCGCTCGGAGTCGTTTTGGCCGAGTGCGGCGACCTCAAACGACGATGGCGTATCCAAAATGAGTGGCACCAGGGCAGCTCGTGATCAACGCATGGCGTGCCGGCTTCAATTTTTCTCTGGGTCGGAGCCCGCGGTGCACTACCACTGATCACGAACAACTTGTCCCGTTCGTGGCCTGTCGGAGGTTCCCAGACTTGCGCGATGCCAGGTCTGGGAACGCTTTTTTTCTCCTCATCCCCATCATCATCACCGTCATCATCGTCACTATCGTTACTTTCACCACCGTCATCGCCGTCATCCTCATCCTCACCGCCATCATGGTATTTATTTCATCACCGTCATCACTGTCCATCATGACCATAATCGTTGTTCGCGTTATCATATTTGCCTCACCGCCATCACCGCCCATCACCATCATCACCGTCATTGTTATTATTATCATCCACATCATCATCACCATCATCTCACATCATCATCATCATCATCATCATCGTCACCACCACCCTTGCCATCATCATCATCATCATCATCATCATCATCATCACCATCACCATCATCATCATCACCATCATCATCATCATCATCATTATCAACAACATGATCATCCTCATCATCAGCATCATCAGCATCATCATCATCTCACAGCATCATCATCATCATCATCAACCAGATCATCATCATCATCATCATCATCATCATCATCATCATCATCATCATCATCATCATCATCAGCATCCTCGCCGTCATCATCATCATCATCAGCAGCAGCATCAGCATCAGCATCATCATCCTATGCCGCGTATTTCTCAAATGGAAGCGTTGCCCCGCGCGGTCCCGAGTAACCGCTGCCCCGCACGCTCCCGAGGGCTTCTAAGCCTGCATGAAGGCAGGTCTGGGAAACGGTCCGCGAAAATTTCGAACAGGACGTTCGGTTCGTTGTGCACCGTATCCGGATCCATCCCTGGCCGAAGAGGGAGGATCCGAGCAACGAGAACGCACACATTGTCCAAGAACGTCAATCGGGCTGACCTCGGCGGCAGACGGCATGGGATCATCCCATTGCGAGGCCAAACGAGCCCCCCATGGATGCAGTGGCTCTCCGTTGGGCCTCGCTTGGCCGCAACATCAGCCTGTCCACTGCCAGCTTTCAAGAAGAGCTGGTCGGGACTCGTCAGCGTGAGCCTTCGATGCTGTCAGGACGCTTGCCGCAGGACATGTCTAAGGGTTCCCCCCCAGACAAGGCCGCGTGGGAGATTTGTTGAGCCACATGAGTATGAGAGGACTTGACCACTTATGAAGCAGTCCGAGTACCTGGTCGAGATACCCACCAGGGTCTCCCTCGATGCCCCTATCCTACAAACCACTCCTGCCTGCGAGGTCTGCTGGGGGGGTGGGGGGTGGGGGGGCAAATCAGGGGAGGAGTCAGGAGGAGTCAGGAGGAGGAGGAGGAGGAACAGGAGGAGGAGGAGGAGGAATATTATAGTTGACCAAGCATGAGTCAACGATGATGAAATACACCCTCCCGTTCTGGGCTTCCTTGTCGCGAGTCCCTACGAGCTTTCCTTTTCATTGCCAGCAGCTTCCAATTGAAAGACGGCTGACCCATAGTATGGGTCAGGCAGGCATTTGGGCGAGAGGCTATTTTTTTGGGGCGAAGAAACTCTTTGAATTCTCTAGCGAAGTAAAAGGAACGCGGCAAGCTAGGATCGCTTCGGAAAAGAACTGGCCATTCCACCTGCTTAATTCTTGCACAAGATTGCGCTTCTGGGCATGAGATCTGAGGAAGTCTCATGCAATAGCCCCATTTGGGGAGAATCTGTTTAACCGCGACCAAGCCAGATTAGAGGGTGGGCCGCCTACTGAGGCGCCGCTGGACTCATTCCTGTTGAAAGGTGGCACGCGTGAAACCCTGATGCATGCCACGCGAAATTCGCGCAAGGACCTGCTGCTTATTTCGTGCCCTCCCATCGTTTGGATGATCATGATGCTGCTGATGATGATGATGATGGTGGTGATGATGATGATGATGATGATGATGATGATGATGATGATGATGCTGATGATGCTGATGATGCTGATGCTGATGATGATGCTGTTTGTGATGATGATGCTGCTGATGCTGATGCTGATGCTGCTGATGATGCTGCTGATGCTGCTGCTGCTGATGATGATGCTGATGATGATAATGGTGGTGATGATGATGACGATGATGATGAGGAGGAGGATCATGCTACTGATGACGATGAGAAAGAGGAGGAGCAGGAGGAGGAGCAGGAGGAGGAGGAGGAGGAGGAGGAAGAGGAGGAGGAGGAGAGGAGGAGGAGGAGGAGAAGGAGGAGGAGGAGGAGGACCCCCCCCTCCAACTTATAGTAGTGATGGTGGAGAACAGGCCCATCAAGAGGGCGGGGCTGTCTCAGAACTCGCACGGGAGATCGTGCTTTTTCAGAAGACCGCCCCCCCCCCCGCCCCCCCCCCCCCCCTCCCCTTCGGGACCAGGCCGCTTTCGGCTTCGGCCCGTCTCGGCTCAGGCCCGGTTCGGCCCCTCTCGGTCTGTCTCGGTTTCGGCCCGTTTCGGCGTCGGCCCGGCGCAGACCCTGGCGCACTCCTGAACAACTTGTGTCGAGGCGAGCCAGATGTCCCTCGATGTCCCCGCGGTAGGCCCTACTTCGGCTGTCAGGCCCTGGTGCCATTATCCGGTTGCCTGTGGCACAGCACGCCACCATGCCAGCGCAGCAGGCAGGAGGAGGAGCAGGAGGTTGATGAGGTGGAGGTGGAGGGGAGGACGACGAGGAGCAGTTTGAGGTCCGCTTCAGCTCAGCGCATTGTCTGAACTGGAGCGGGTCTGAACCCCCCTCACTATCAAGTTTCTCCCCTCCTTCATAGCAGTCGGACCGAGGTATAAGATCGAGGTCGGTTCGGGGAGTGTATATACCCTAGTGCTCTTCGTGTTTGTTTGATGTTCTCGTGTATCCTGGGGAGGGTACCCTTCGATGTTCTGTGCGTGTTGGCCCGCGGAGGGTCTCATCTTCTTGAAGGATGCTCTCCTGTCCTAGGTCCGAGTATTTTTCTCCTCCTCCTCCTCCCCCCCTCCCGCGAGGCCCTGGACCCCTTGTCCAACGGCTCATTCTCTTGCGCCTCCCCACCGTATGGCTGCAGTCCGTGTTTTTTGTGTGTGTGTTTTTGTGTGTTTTGTTTTTGTTCCCCGGACGTCGTGGGCAAAGCCAAGACGTCGCGAACCAACAACAAGGATCAGAGCTCTCGCCCCCGTGCCGTGTCGATCCGTACGGGTCCTCCAGATGCCAGAACACGGGCACGAACGCGCTGCAGATGGGGATCTTCTTTCTACTCGCTGCTTCTCGCGAACCGCCAGCCGTTCAGGATGATTCTGGGCAGTCCAGGGGCTCTGCTGTGAGACATTTGAGTGTCGGAGACCTTTCAGGAACCTCCGAACATGTATGGTACGACAACCTTATTTGGTAAACTTGCAGGATCGGCCCCACCGTTCCCTGGTCGTGCTACCACAACCTGAGGAATATACATACATCCTCCTGCATCAGAGAACCCCAGCTTCACTTCGTCGTCCTCCTCCTCCTCGATCCTCCTCGATTTTTGTTTGTTTGTTTTGAAAGTTGCCGCAATTAGGCGTCTTCCTGAACTCCCCCCTGGGTTATGATGTTCCAACCTACTTTAGCTTTGATCACCAGAAAGAAGTTCGAGCACCAGAAAAGTACCGACACTTCAGGGTTTTCACGTGTCGGGCCCTGGGAGACACTCGCCCGACATTGTTTCGACCCTGTTTCGACATGTTTCGGGGTCCTCGAAATTATTTCTGGGATGTGGTCTTTAAGTACAGTGCCGTTTTCGATACATGCTCCGCGTGCGGATCATGTATTAAACATGCAGGGATTTCGCACTAACAACAACGATGAGTTCATGCATGCATTTACTCATAAATGAGTCATGTACTAAAATCCTATATGTTTAAACATCCTATGTATTAAGACTTGCCTTGTACGATGGGAACAACATAACCCCTGGGACGCTCCGGCGCTGCAGGTGCAGTCCTCGCTGGACTCGTGCACCACCCTGGGCCACGACGTGGCGGCGTCCATTGCGAGCATCCACGGCATCAAGGCAAGGAGGAGGAGGAAGAGGAGGAGGAGGACAGGGGGGAGGAAGAAGAGGAGGAGGAGGTGGAGGAGGAGGCGGAGTCGGAGGAGGATCGGGAGGAGGAGGAGGATCAGGAGGAGGATCAGGAGGAGGAGGAGGAGAAGGAGGAGGGGGAGGAGGATCAGGAGGAGGAGGAGGAGGAGGAAGATGAGGAGGAGGAGGAGGAGGAGGAGGAGGAGGCGGAGGCGGACCCAGCCATGCGACGTCCTGATTTTTTCAGGACGGCGTTCCTGGAAGTCCCGAGCCTTTCCCCGAGACCGGTTTTTCGTCCTGGGTCGTTTTTTGATTGTCTCGAGGCCCGTCGAGGGCCGATAAGGGCCGAAAACAGTGAAACACGCGATAATGTCTGGGGAGAAGGATCAGGAGGAGGAGGAGGAGGAGGAGGAGGAGGAGGAGATGCCTGGGGGCAGAATCGTTGCCTGGGGTCTTCTCCCGAGAAGAGAGGGGCCCCGCCTTTGGCGGCGCAGGGTTTGCCTTCGGCGGAGGTCCTCCCGCGGACGCGAAGGCCTCGGCGGAGCCGCCATGAGATGCTGGTGTTAAGTTTAAGTCGGGCACGTCCCCCTACAGGAGGAATATTCAAAAATAGTTAAAACATAGTCTGGGGACGATTTTTCTACTATTTTTACCATTTGCGGGTATTGTTTGACTATTTTTCATTTGTCGTCCAAAATCTGCCTGTATGGGGGACATGCCCGACCTAATGTTAAGTCGGATCTTGTCCCTCTACTGGAGGAGCATTCAAACATATGTTAAAAAGTAGTCTGGGGACGATTTGTCCCCTATCAGAGTTTGCCTCTGGTAGGGGTCCTAGCGGGTTCGTGAGGTCAGGTGAGGTGCGTCGGGAATTGTTTGGGTTCCCAGGTGCCCGGGTGCCTGGGTGAGGTGCGTCGGGAATTTTCAAGGTGCCCGGGTGCTCTATAGCCTTATAGTGCTATAGCCCTATAGCCTTAAAGCCTTATAGCCTTATAGCCCTATAGCCCTATAGCCCTATAGCCCTATAGCCCCATAGCCCCATAGCCCTTCAGCCCTATAGCCCTACAGCCCTATAGCCCTACAGCCCTATAGCGCTACAGCCCGATGCCCTACAGCCCTATAGCCCCATAGCCCTATTGCCCAATCCCTATAACCATATTGCCATATAGACTTATAGCCCTGTGACCCTATGGACCCATAGCCCTAGGGCCCCAGAGCCCCAGAGCCCATAGCGCTATAGCCCTATATCTCCATAGCCCCAAAACAGATTATGATTGGGGTTTCTCTCTGGCCTCATTCTAGTTGTTGTTGGCCACTTGGGGGTATTTGTTGGTTCTTTTTATTGTTTCGTCCAAAGTCCGCCTGCAGGAGGACATGCCCGACCTACTCCCAGTGGAAGGCCGGCCGAAAGCGGCGGGAGCAAAGGCAAGTCTCGAAGAAGAAGAAGACACGCCATGAACACAAATTTTTGGCCCTCCGCACGGATTTCTTGGAGCCGCGCTGGGCCCCCCTGGCGGCGACTCTGGCGCCGCCCTTGGCGCGGATCCAAGATATCCGCGCGGAGCGCCAAACGCTGATGTTTATGACATTTTGTTTGTTCTTCTAAATGTCTTTGGATTCAGGGCTTCCAGAATCGACATGCGCATCACACAGGTGATTATCCATGGAGCACTGCCACCTTTGCTGGCACAGATTCCACGCACAGGATTGTCCACATCGTTTTGAGTGATTACTCGCTTGGCCCTCTTGTCAGTGCCCTCGCGATGGCCGAGCCCTGCTTGCACCATCCTCGCCTCCACGACACTCCGCCACACGAGGGGACGGTCAAGTACGTATGCCGATGGCACTCGTCGACGTCTCGTGGAAGTTGAGACGCCCCGCGGTGCAAGAGTTTAGAACTAGCCAGCATAGCCGAACATGACGACATCTCCTGCGATTTTCTCGGCTCCGTCGTTTCTTTTCCAGTTGCCAGGACTCCGGCTCAACCAGAAGCTTGCCTGCGCATGTAGAGCGTCGTACGCGCGGGAAGACATGTCGGGGTGCGCGCAGGTCTGGCTCCATTCGTGTTCTAGAGCTTGTCTCGAAGATTGCCCAGGTTTCTGGGGCTGACATCTTTGTGGTCTTGCTCTCGACTGTACTGTCCTCCTCGCGTCCTTGTTTCACAGCCTCATCGGCCGCGTCGCGCATACACGCGGGCAAGGGCCCAGCTACCGCATATGGCAAACAGTAGTAGTAAGAGTAGAAGCATGGGGAGGAGGAGGACGACGAGAACGATGATGAGCTCAAGCACTCGCCTCCAAATGAGCGGCCGAGGCAGTCTCTACTGGTCCAGTGAGCGTGAGCGACATCAGCTACATCAGTCATATAAGGCTGTGCACCCACTGCCTTCGCGCTGCTGGTAGAGCAACCGTTTGCGTCCGAGTTGGCGGGGGAAGAGCAATATGGTAGAGGCGGCAGATGGGCGCAGAGTGGCAGAGATGAGAAAAGGACCCCTTGAGATCGACGGTGTACAGACAGGGCCCGCTGGGAGCCTTCTTGAAGTCGACGGTGTCTGCAGCCTTCACCTTTTCCGTTCCCATGCGTCGGCAAGCATGTTTCGTTGTTGCGCGCGTGCGTGAGGTTCTTTGCCATCTCAGGCATTACGTTGACCTGCCGTTCACAATGAGCCAGCGTTTTGAGGTCTCAGGTAATATCTGTGGGAGGCGGATAAGTGTCGCGCGTATATGCGTTTCGCCTTAATCTACAGTTCCCATGCTTCCTTCCCTTTCCTGTTGCCTTGTGACAATGGGGTCTGTCTTGCCTTCCCTGATTCAGATGTCTAGACACTTCGCGTAACCCCACCAGCCTTTGCTTCGGCGCGGCCCGCCCTAGCTTGCTCGGCTTCCGACTCGTCTTCGCGCCCCCGCGTACCAAAACAATTAACTCCACCAGCCCATGCAGAGACGATGCCCAGGCGAGTTGCCCTGATCAGGGATGTGGAGGAGCATGCCGTAGAAGAAAGGTTTGGGCAAACCGTCATACCTCAAGAGAGGGATGATGGGGGAGGCATCAGAGGATGGCATGGGGAAGGAGGCAAGGGGGGCGTAGGCGGAGGAGGAAGATGAGGAAACGGCGGATGATGATGATGTTGCTAATGCTGATGGCGATGGTATTGCTGATGGTGAGGAGGAGGAGAAGGAGGAGGAGGAGGAGGAGGAGGAGGAGGAGGAGGAGGAGGAGAAGGGGGAGGAGAGGAGGAGGAGGAGGGGGGGGGGAGAGGGGGGGGGAGGGAGGAGGAGGAGGAGGAGGAGGAGAGGAAGGAGGATGTAGGAGAGGAGGAGGAGGAGGAGAGGAGGAGGGGGCAAGAGGGGGGGGTGAGGAGGAGGAGGATAGGGAGGAGGAGGAGGAGGAGGAGGACACTGTGGTGCAACTTCGACGGACCCCCAGAGCGCGGTGGGCGGCAGCGAGGCGGCAACGGGGTGGCAGCGGGCGGCGACGTGGCGAAGCCTCGGCGGAGCCTCACAGGTGGGCGGCGACGAGCCCCTGAGTGCGCAACGAGGCGGCAGCGGGCGGCGACGCGGCGAAACCTCGACGGACCCCCCTCTCCCGGTGGGCTGCAACGAGGCGGCAGTGGGCGGCGGCGCGGCGAGACCTCGACGGACCCATGCAAGTTCTGAGGAACGCAGGCAGGAGCCACTAAGCGCATGCACTTGGGGAGTGCAAGTGGTCGCGGGACGCCCGAACATCATACCCATGTTGCCCCAGCGTGCATGTTGCTCTGCTTTTTGGCAAGGGGTGGTGGGGGCGGGTCGGCATTGCACCTGCTTTGTCGCAAGTCGGGTGGGGGAGGGGATGTCCCCTGGAAAGGAGCAGGAGGAGGAGGCGGAGGAGGAAGAGGAGGAGGAGGAGGAGGAGGAAGAGGAAGATGAGCACGTCCCCGAATAGGGGAATAAGTTTCTTGAAAGAGTGAAGAACATAGCCGTTACACCACCTTCTCCTAGAGCGTTGGTGGGACTTTCCCAGACCGCACTTGGCGTTCTGGCAAACCTCAGCGTGCTCGTTGGCGGATCATTAGTGTTGTCCCTCTTCCTCCGCTTCTTCCTAGTGTCTCCTCTGATCCAACGTCTTCCCCCCTGCTCTTCTACGCCGACCTCCTCATACATCCGATCTTCCCTAGTCTCCTCTTCCTCCTCCTCTTCCTGCTCTTCCACTTCTTCCTCCGTTTCCTCCTGCTCCTCCTGCTCCTCGTCTTGCTCCTTCTCTTCCTCCTTCTCCTCCCCCTCCCCCTCCCCCTTCTCCCCCTCCTCCATCTGCTTCTGTCCATGAGCGCGCACTGGCTGGGATTGCTGAGCGAATCCAGCCGCGGGGGAGGCAGCATCATGTTCTTCTTCTTTTTCTTCTTCTTATTATTAGTATTGTTTGTTAGTATTGTTGTTGTTATTTTTATTATTATTGATATTATTATTATGATTATTATTATTATTGTTATTATTATCTCTTGTTTTTCTTATTCTTCTTATTATTATTCGTCTTCTTCTTCTTCTGTTTCTTCTTCGTCCCGGCGCTCGGGGAGTTCCGAGAGGGAAGTGGTGTGTCCTTGTCGTTGGACGCTTTGATACTGCTGCGCAGCTGTTCCGGGTCCGCTCCCGCCTCCCGTCGCTCCCTCCTCCGCCCCCTCTCGTCCCCCTCCCTCGCTGTGCCTCTCTATCCTTCCAGTTTGAAGCATATCCCTATCTTACCTCGATGCCGATCTTGAGGATTCCCTCAGTTTCTGAGGGCCTGTCCCTAAGATTGTCCTCGCTTTTTGCTCGCCCATCTTAGGGATAAGGATACGTTCGAGGCTGGTTACTATCCCCCCCCGCTACCAGCCCGAAGCAGATCCCTATCCCTATGAGCATCGCCTTGTCTCGATGCCGATCTCCAGGGACCCCCTCGGTTCCTGGAGGCTGAAGGCGCATCCCTGGGCTTGTCATCGCCCTGGAGATCCTGAATCTGAAGGGGGAGGAGGGGCTGGAGGAGGAGGAGGATGAGGAGGAGGAGGAGGAGGAGGAGGGGAGGAGGAAGAGGAGGAGGAGGAGGAGGAGGAGGCGGGGAGGAGGAGGAGGAGGAGGAGGCTTGTCATCGCCTCTGAACTCCTCACTGCAGAGATGGGGATGCAGCCAGGACGCTGAAATCAAGGACCGCTTTGGGTTCGGCGGGGCTTGCGGTTCCTCTGGTCACCGCGTGGCTGCTCCTCCGTGTGGCCTCCCTCGCGCACCCGGGCTCCTTGGGTGTTGGGCCCATTTTTCCACCACCAGCGCCACCATACGCAGGAGGGGGGAAGGAGGAGGATGAGGAGGACGAAGAGGAGGAGGAGGAGGAGGAGGAGGAGGAGGAAGAGGAGGAGGAGGAGGAGGAGGAGAAGAAGGAGGAGGAGGAGGAGGAGGAGGAGGAGGGAGACCCCCTCCCCCTCCAACTTATAGTGGTGGCGGTGGGATACAGGCCCACCATGGGTGCCAGGGCTCGACCTGAACGGTGTTTCAGCGATTTTTCGTGATCCTTTCTCGTTTTGGTTCTGCTTTGCAGCAGCGGCGAAGCGCAGACCACGCGATGGAGACAACGAGCAGCAGCACGAAAACGCAAAGCACGGCTCTGGTCGAGCACTCGGTCGCGTGCCCACGCGGGGCCTCTCCTTCCTGCACTGCCCGGCGCTCCTTCTGCCCTGCAGCCCGGCTGTGCCTCCTCCTCCCCGCTTGCGTCGGGGGCGGCAGCGAGGGGGGAGATGACTCCGAGCATGTCCTTTGGGTGGAGGGCAAAGGGTGAAATCTGAAATGCCGTTTCCATTGATTCTCGAGGCTTGGATCGCAAGAGGTGAATCACGAAACGGAATGATCTTCGAGGTGCAAGAGCCCACATAGATTTCACCCTGAGCCCTCCACCCGAAGAAAACGCTCAGTGACTAGGGGGTGGTGGATATCTAGGGGGTGGTGGATATCATGGCGGGGGCCATGATATTTCCCCAAATTTCATGGCGCCTCTTCTTGTTCCGTCACGTCCCTGGCCCCCCCCCCCGCTGGGCCGCGCACGTGCCGCCGGCCACGATCTGCACCCCCCCCTCTTGGACACCCCCCTCTTGGTCGCTCCCGATTGCGGCTGGCGGCTGTTCCTCCACGTGGCCCCCCTCGAGCACCCGGGATCCTCGGGTGCCAGCGAGGGGCCTCGTTCTTTACGGTCCGCCCTCACGGTGAGGATGGGCGGCTTTCCAAGGTTGCCCTTGCATCCTTTCCTGTGGGCCCATCCTTGGCCGCTCTCGCGGTCCGCGCCCCGCTCGCAGAGTGTCGACATTAGCCTTCCACGGCCCTTGCACCCTTATCGTGCTTCCTTATTCTACGGGTTGGGTTGACTTCCGAGGCCCTTTGCACCCTTCTCGTGCACCCTTACAGCGGAGACCCATGCCAAGAAACACCCTGCGTGCCTCCAGGGTGCCCTGGGTTTCTTGGGCTTCGATGCTTTTGCCATGGGAGGGTTCTTTTGGACTGGCCTCCACTGTACCGTGCTTCCCTTCTGCCAGCAGCCCGACTTGCTTGCCTGCGCTGCGCTCAGTGCGACGCTGTGAGGTGAAAGAAACAGCTCACGGCTCCCACATTACAGGAACACTCGGCCGACACGTCTTCCGTCGGCCTTCACACTTAAAGCCCCCGGCTTTTGGGTTGCTTTCGCCCGGCTTTGTGCGCAGAGTAGCGTGCAAGTGCGTCGATTTCCCGAGCACTTCCTTTGGGTGGAGGGCACAGGGTGAAATCTCTGGAATGCCGTCTCGATGGATGTTCGAGGCGCGAATCTGCAAAAGGTGAGTCACCAGACGGATGGATGATCGAGGTGCAGAATGCCCTTGTGGATTTCACCCTGAGCCCGCCATCCTGAGAAATGCTCTGGTTTCATCTAACATTATGTCGGGCGTGTCCCCCATACAGGGGGATTTTCGACGAAAAACAAAAATACCCCAAACATGCCCCCAAAACATGTTTTTTTTTGGGGGGGGGTATAGTTTATGTTTCGTCGAAAATCCCCCTGTAGGGGGACAGGCCCGACATAAATCTAACGGAACAATTCCCCCCCCCCGGTTCCGCGGCCGGCGGGCGCCCAGGGCGGCCGGGGGCCCTGCGGGCGGCGACCAGGCGCCCCGCCCCGCGGGGGGCGGCCGCGGCGCGCCCGCGGTTCGGGCCCGCTGCTCCTCCCGCCTCCTCCTCCGCCTCCTCCTTTTCCTCCTCCTGCTCCTCCTCCTCCTCCTCCTCCTCCTCTTCCTCCTTCCTTGTCCCGCTTCCTCCGCCTCCTCTTCCGCCTCCTCCTCCTCCTCCCCTCCTCCTCCTCCTCCTCCTCCTCCTCCTCCTCCTCTTCCTCTCTTCCTCCTCCTCCTCCTCCTCATCTTCCTCTTTCCTCCTCCCCCTCCTCCTCCTCCTCCTCCTCGTCCTCCTCCTCCTCCTCCTCCTCCTCCTCCTCCTCCTCCTCCTCCTTGCCACTTCCTCAGCTGTTCTGGCTCAGGCATTTGGCCCTGAGCTTGCAAACGCGCACTTCAGAACGGCTCGTGCTTGCGAGCCAAATGACACGGAGACGAGCTTGGTTGGCCCATGGCATCGCGCCGCGATGCGCTTGGGATCCGAGCCTCAACGACGGTACAGTGGAAATGCACGGGCAAGTGCGGAGGTTGCCCGAACCACACCAGCAGGGCGGAGTGCAGAGCGTGCGGGGCCAAGGCGCCGCCCAGCATCCTCGCCGCCCTCAAGTCATGCCAGCCCCTCAGCCTCGGAGCAGCGCCGTGGCGCGATGGAGGAGGTGGCGCCGCAGGAGCCGCCAAGCCCCAAGGCAAGGCCAAGGCCAAGCCGGAGGTTGAAGCTCGCGGTGCCCAGTGGGACAAAGCCAAGAACTGGTCGTCCCACTTCGGCTGCAAGGGTGACGGGGGCAACGGCAGTGAGGCGAAGGTCGCGGACCTCTTTGTCGCCGAGCTGCTGGAGGCCACCAACAAGGCGCTGGTGTCGGCTGGCAAGGACGGCCTCGCCGAAGGCTAGCTCTCAGTGGTCGCACCTGCTCCACCCGAGCAGGAGGTGGCCGGCGTCGCCTCGAAGCCGCTGGCCCAGGTGCTCCAGAGGAAGGCGGACAATGGCAAGCAGGTGGAGAAGGCCAAGGTACGCGTGGAGGAGCGAACCCAGGAGCTGGCGGCCGCGCAGGAGGCCTATGACGCGGAGTTGCGGCAGCTCCGCGAGCACGAGGCCAAGCTGGCGGAGCTGGAGGCGATCGAGAAGACCAAGTGCGCAGAGGCGTGCATGGGCACCGAGGGGGACACGGTCGCTCTCCTCGACCAGCTGGCGCTGCTCTTCGACGCCCTCGGCCAGAACGAGGACATGCAGGATGGCATGGCGAGCCTCGCGGACGCCCGTGCCGTCGCCGCCAAGGCCAAGGAGAAACTCCCGGTCGCTGAACGGGCTGCAGCCGCAGCCAAGGAAGGTCCCAGCGCTGGCGGCACTCCTGCTGCTGATGGCCCCGGGGCCCCTGATGGCGGCGGCGCAGCCGGCGGAGGCGTGGAAGTGGAGGTGCCCGACTCCGAGGTGGGCCAGGACCTGGCCGACCAGGCGGCCGCTGAGGTTGAGAAGCTGGGAGGCCCCCGCCCAGCCTTCGACCTGGACAGGCCTGGGGGCGTCGACGAGTTCACGCGCGTGGCCCCCAAGTTCCTGGACGCGCAAGCGCTGGCAGCCAATCGGCAGCGTGTTTGACCATGGACAGGAGGTCCTGCGCCAAGGCTTGGCGTACCTCGAGAAGTTCTGGGGGTCCAACGAGTGCGACTTGGAGTGGCCTGAGTTGGGGTGCCTCATCCCTGCGCGCCGCCCAGACAGGTGCTTCTCCTCCGACATGGAGAGACGCGAAGTACTCGCGGTTGCCGCCCCTCAGGCTAGGAGAGCCAACGAAGAGGGCAATGGCACGAGGAGATCACAGATGGGGTCGTGGACTTCGGCGTCCGCGTCGAGAGGCGCACTCGCTGTCCCCGAGAAGCTGGATGCCCGTTCGCAGACGGAACCCACGAAGGGCATGGGTTCACTCGGGCCCCTGGACCCACAGGAGGGATCCTGCGAGCGGGAATCAGCGGAGGGACGGCAGAAGTCGCCACATGAAGGCAGGCATAGTTCTCAAGGAGCTGCTGCGGGTCACGAAGTCGCTGGGGGCTTCGTGGAGGCCAAGGGCCAGAATCCTGCGATGCGCGCGGCTGTGTCGGCGCGCGTGACGCTCGAGAGAAAGCTGAGGGCCCGCGCCGCGTTCTGGCTCCAGGGCGTCTCAATCCTTGACGAAGCTGGAGATAGAGCGCACTGGCTGCGCTTGTGCGTGTCCCGCGTGGCCGACCTGTTGACGCGCGGCGCGTGGGCGCCACTCGTCTCCGAGGCTGCTCGAACGGCAGTCATCGACACCATGGGCGTGGTCAGACTCAGGAGGGCGCAGGACTTCTGCGAGGAGGCGCGGGCCGCACGGCGGCGCGCGCGAGCCAATTGCCACGCCGACGTGCGCAGGCTGGCCCAGCCCGACGCGCAGGAATGGGAGGGGCAGGTGGCGCGGCACGAGCGCTCCATGACCGAGGCGGAGGAGGAGTTCGGCTCTGTGCCTGGCAGGCGTGCTGCTGGCGCCGCCCGCTGGGCCGCTGCCGCGGCGCCTACCAGGTCGCCGTCGGAGGCGTCGAGTGCGGGAGGCAGGCCTGGCAGCGCCGCGCTCGCTTCGGAGGAGGGCGCGGGGGGGCTGGGGCCCCAGGTCTGCGGCGGAGCTGGGCCTCGGCGAGGTGGGCTGGATACTCGTGCTCGGCGACCTTCCGTCGGTGGGTCGAGGGCCAGCGCAGCTCGAGGTGCGGGGGCCCTCCCTGCCCCCAGCGCAGGCGGTCAAAAGTGCATCGCTGATGACGAGGCGCCCGACAAGCTCTTGATTGCGTCGGCCAACGCCCACTCTTGGGCCAGCGGTCAGGCCTTTTTGGAGTGGAGCAGGGACAAGAAGATGACGTTCGATGCTGTCGGTTTGCAGGAGCACGCATCAAGCATGGCGCTAGGCTGAAGTCGACGGCGACCTGGGCGAGACGCGCTGGCTTCGAGTTCTCCGGGGGTCTCGCTCGGGACACGGGCCCAGGGCCCCCTGGCAGCTCTGGAGGAGCGGCGGTCCTCACGGCGATGGCGGCGGCCAGCGTGGAGAAGCCCAAGGAGCGCAGTGTGTTGGGGCCCCATGGGGCAAGAGCTGCGAAGCTCAACGTGGGCCTGGGCTTCCCGATCTACTTCGTCTCGGCCTACATGGTGGACAGCATTGGGGTCGCGGGCGGCAGCGTTGTGCTGCTTGAGGCCCTGCTGATCCGGGTCGGCAGCCTCGAGTGGCCGTGGGTCATCCTGGCGGACTGGAACATCGAGCCCGACGACTTGGCCAGCTGGGCCAAGCAGGCCTCAGGAGTTCTCGCGCGTCCGTGGAGTCCAACTTGCGGCGCGCGCGAGTGCGACTGCGCCATGGTGTCTGGGGCTCTTGCCAGCCGGGTCGGCGCAGTCCAGGTGCTCAGTGACGCCCCGATCTCGCCGCGCTCGCCCACCGCCATCGAGCTGAAAGGGCCTGCGCCAGAGTGCCACAGTCACCAGGGCGGTCTACCCCAGTCGGTACCCGTTGGCCCTGCCACATCCTGCACAGGCAGCGCCGCCCCATCTAGCTGAAGACGAATGGCCGTGGTGCCCAAGGGCTGGACCCACTGATGTTGAGGAAGCCTCTAAGTTCTGGTACGCCAAGGTTGAGGACTGCCTGACAGGCTTCACCAGCTGGAAGGTCACAAGCGGTGCAGAGTGGCCAGAGGCAGAGGCCTGCAGGTGGAGACTGTTCCCCTGGTCCAGGAGTGGGAGGACACGCTGAAGGAGACGTCCAGCGCCGAGTGCCGCAAGAGGGCTGGGCTGCTAGCGTCTTGCAGGAAGGCGGCCACTCTCCGTGGGCACCAGCTGGACAACGTCTGGGTCAGGTACTCCTGCTTTGAGCGCCAGGTCCGCTTAGTGCGTGCGTTCGTGTTCGACAAGGCGGAGTGGCCGACGTCTGGGCCGCTAGCTGCTCAGGGCCAGCGTGCCATTGCGCGCTCATTCCAGGAGCTGGACTTGCACGACTACCGCGCCCTCCTGGTCGACCTCCACGACCACGTAGCTCCATTCGGAGGAGGGACAAGGCCAAGCGCAGCAAGGAATGGAGAGGGTGGGCACAGGAAGCAGCCACCAGGGCAGGAGGCCAGAAGGCATGCCGTTTCATCAATGATGGCAGCCTGATTCCGTCGACGGTGAACGCGCGCGAGGACGACGAGAGCGACCCCGGCCTCCCAGAGGCAGGTGATGCCGCCATGAAGGTGCTGATGAAGGAATGGGGGGGCCTCTGGATCCACCCCGACAGGCAAGGGGACTCAAACCCACGGCTCTGGGCGAGCGGCGCAAGGGGCGTCTGGCACGACCTCCCGCCCATCACCATGGACGCGCTGGACTGCGTGCTGGCATCCTATGGGGAGGGCTCAGGCCTTGGGCGGGACCGCCTGCGCCCGCGGCAGCGTCGGTGGCTGCCGCGCCACTACCGATAGGCGTTCTTGGACACCGTGGAAGCCTGGGGGAGGCAGCCGACGAGATGCTCGCTGCGGATGCTGCTGGTGGTCTTCCTGCCGAAGCCCCCGCCCGGAGGTGCGCGGCCCATCATCCTGGCCAGCCTCTGGACACGGGTCTGATCAAAGCTGCGCCAGCCTATTGTTGCAGCGTGGGATTGCAGGATCGACCAGTCCTTCCACTGGGGCACCTCCGACCGCTCGTGCGACAAGGCTGGGTTCGTGCACAACTTGATGACGGCCTTCGCGAGGAAGACAGGCATGGTGTCCAGCACCCTGGCGATCGACCTCACGAAGTACCTCGAGATGACCAGCCACGGCGAGCTCTACGACCAGGCGGTCGCGACGGAGTTCCCCATGGTGTTGCTCAGGGCCTTTTGCTCGAGCTACCGCCCCCCGCGCAGGGCGATGCTGGGCCAGGGGGTCGGGCCCATCATCGAAGCCAGCGGCAGCGGGCTGCTCGTGCGCGGCGGGTGTCGCCAAGCTGCTGACCTACACCCTGCTGCGCAGCATCGTCAGCAGGTGCCTTCTGGTGCGGGCCCAGAGACT